TTGGTTTTCAATCGGGCGGCCTCGCGGGAAACCCGCGTCTAATGGCTGGACGTTTTTAGGCGCCTGATGGAAGGACGTCGCCCGACCACGGGGAATCCCTTTTTGAAAGCTACACCGTATCGCTCAGCGACGGCCTGGGGTAGGAGCAGCTTCGCTCGGCGCCGATAGTCGTGAGTCAACTTTCAAGGGGTCTGACCAGCAGAATCCCGCCCCTTCGGCTGTTGGGCCCACAAGGGTTTCAGCACCCGCCCGGCAAGGGAGGCTTGACCTCTCCTTCGTGGACAGCCGTTCCGCGCTGTTCCCCCTCCCCTCCCCTCCCCCTCCCCCTTCCCCCTCCCCCCTCCTCCTCCTCCTCCTCCTCCTCCTCCTCCTCCTCCTCTTCCTCCTCCTCTTCCTCCACTTCCTCCTTCTCCTCCTTCTCTGGCTCCTCTGCCTGCTCCTCCTCCTTCTCCTCCTCCTCCTCCTCCTCCTCCTCCTCCTCCTCCTCCTCCTCCTCCCCCCACCGCCCGCCTCATGTCCCGAGCCTGTGGCAGGGTCATCAGCTCGTCGTTGTCGTTGTCGTCGTCGTCGTCGTTGTCGTCGTCGTCCTTGCGGGTCGGCGGCACTGGCCGTAAAGCCTTCACAATACATGATATTCTGGGTTGTCTCTTATCTTCTCTTCCGTTATGCAAGTGTACGTTATGCCATGCTATCATATGTGCTTTTCGTTTTTTTGCATGATGTCATTATGTCATGCTCGTCTCCTTCACGATCGACGGCATCAGTCTAGCAGGGGACTTTACAGCCTGGTGTCCTCAGCAGTGACTGGCTGATTGCACCACCCTCCTCTTCCTCGTCACCCTTCCCCGCTCCCTCCAAGTTCTTCCCTCGTGCTTCCCTGGAGGAGCCGTTGGAGGGAGGATATCGGGCCGGCGGCGAAAGAGGGTTGCGTTAACAACGTGAAGCAGGAGGAGGCGGATGAGCCAGGAAAGAGCAGAGAGCGACAATTCGGTATAACCCAGGCGTTCGCGGAGCTCCCGACTGTGAAGAGGGCGAAATGTTTAAATCGAACGTGCCTCGAGCCGATTCTGTGCTGGCACGATAGACATGCGTCAATTTGACTGGTAGGGATCGTGTGATGCTTCTATGGCCGACCCTCCTACCCGCGCGCACCCCTCGAAAATCGTCCCCGATGTTTTGTTTTCTCTCTGGCGTCCTGTTCGGTCTCTGGACGGCCCTGCGACGACGGCTGGAGACCGCTCATAAACTGGTGGCGACATGCTCGAACGACAACCCGATACATCGCAACCACCTGCTCCGTGATGTGCCCAAAGAGCCCTAAGAGGTCCCAGAAACCCATCAAGAGACGACGCCAAAACAGGCCTCTAGCGAGGCCTGAAGAAGCCCCAAAACATGGAAAGAAATGCAACCATGACCCTTTGTTTGCTTCTAAGGTCGTGGGTTGATTCTCGACGGCCCCAGGGCCCAATAATGGCCCCTTCAAACCGACACCTACAAAACAACCTTCCGTCGTTGGGGAAACCAAGAGATACCGATACCGCTACTACCTTGACCTCTCCTTGTGCGCGTTCTGACTGGAATCTCGGGGCGAAACGGGCGGTGCCGACGAGGGCCTCGCAAGAGGCACACAAGGGAAGAAAACGCGGGAAACGTCGGACCTAGGACCTAGGACAGAAACATAAACATCCTGCAAGAGCAAGTGAAGAACATTTGAGGGTACCCCCCCCTGATGCACAAGAACATCAAACAGACACGAAGATCATCAGGGCACCCTCCCCGAGCCGACCTCGATCTTATACCTCGGCCAGACCGTATGATGATCTGTTCTTCCGCTGGCCCCAGGCCAACCCCTGCAAAGCAGCCTCCGCCGTGGTCTTTTCATGACGCGAGGGCGGTCTTTGGGAACGGCGCGGCCTCCTGCAGGCGGCGACTGCGGTGGGCATGCCAACTGAGCGCTCCGAAGCACGCGCTGCCCAGGTGCCCGCGCGACCTGCTAGGGCCAAGGCACTCGCGCGGGTAGGCGTGGTGCAGCCACTGCGCGAAGAGGCGCCCTGGCCACCCCACGAGAGGGCAGAAGAGAGGAGGAGGAGGAGGAGGAGGAGGAGGAGGAGGAGGAGGAGGAGGACGCGGAGGCGGAGACGGAGGAGGACGATGAGGAGGAGGTGGAGGAGGAGGAGGAGGAGGAGGAACGAGGAACGATGAAGGTGGAAGGAGGAAGGCGGAGGATGAAGGAGGAAGGAGGACGGACGAATGCAGGTGGAAGGAGGACAGCGAAGAGGCGCCTTGGCACCCCCTGGCTTCCCCCCTTCTTGCTGTATGAGGGCATAAGAAAACCTCCCCTTACCACAAGCACCCCGATCAGCGAATATCTTCCATCTTCCCTCCTTGAAGAGGGAAGGAGGAACACTCCCGTAAAGAAGCACTCCGACAAGCGAAGCCCTTCCGCAAACGCACCCGAGAAAGGGATCAAGCAGGGCAGGGTTACGTGGCACACGCCCAGGGACGTGCAACACACGCCAGCGGTGTGCCTGCTCCTCCTCCTCCTCCTCCTCCTCCTCCTCCTCCTTCTCCCCTGACCTGATGCCGTGCGCTGCACGCCAGGCAGGTGCCAGCTGTGCTCCGGCCCTCCTCGGGTCGTGCATCAGGCGCGACGGATGCTCTCAGAGGCCTCCCGGATGGGGTCGGCACAGAAGCCGTCGGAGGATCGCGCCGGATCGCCGATCAATCGGTGATGCATCGTCGACGTGGGCGATGCACCGGCGATGTCGACGTGAAGCACATCGGGCCCCACATCGAGCCGCATCGGCGATGCACCGGGGATGCGGCGCGATCCTCCGACCCCATCTACTCCGACCCCACCTAGAAGGCCTAGATTTCTCCTCCCCTGACTTGCCGCCGTGCGCGAACACCAGGCAGGTGCCTCGCGTCGTGAATCAAACGCGACGGATGTTTTCTCGCTGCCAATCTCGGCCTCCAGGGTGTTCCCTCTCCAGGCCCTGGGGCCGTCAGACACCTGCCCCGAGACCTCCGACGGAGCGATGCCCCACCGAGAAACGATCGGCACACCCAGAAAGGAGGGGGGAAGGAGGTGAGGGGAGGAGAGGATAAGGAGGAGGAGGAGGAGGAGGAGGAGGAGGAGGAGGAGGGAAAGGGGGATGGGGTGGGGGAGGGGGAGGGGGAGGAGGAGGTGGAGGTGGAGGAGGAGGAGGAGGAGGAGGAGGAGGAGCAGGCACAGCGTTGCATGCAGGAGGAGGAGGAGCCCGCGGTGCCGCTTGAGATGCTGACGGCCACCAGCTGCAAGTATCTGGACATCCGAGCGGGCCGTCTTCGACGCAGGCACATGCCCCCCCCCCCCCCGTGGACTGCAATCAGCTTCGGCAGCAAGGGTGGGCATGATGCATGCCGGCGCCATCACCCGTGCAGGAGACCGCCCCTCGGACAAGAGCGGGAGGATGCCGGGGAGGAAGCCCACGGTGCCTGGGGGCCATGGGCACCCTCGCAGTGCTGACACTGACTGAGGGGGGGCCAGGATCGTGGGACTGACCAGATAGGACCAGGGGGACGTAAGACCTGGGTACAGGGGACTCGGAAATCCCCGACGAGGTCGTCAAAAAAATGACGAGGCCGAGCCTGCATTATGACGAGGCCTCCCGCTGCAGACATCCCACGAAACTCCTCCTCGTCAAAATCTGAGGCGCGGTCGTCAAAAAACGATGGCGAACCCGAGTCCTGGCAAACCCGGGTCTTACGCTCCCCCGATAGGAGGGGAGACTGCATCTGGACCCAATCAGCAGGCGGATTTGTATCCAGCTCCGCGGGCCCCAGGAGCCCGGACCCCTGCCCCTGTCGGGAGCGGCCAAAGAGGGGGGTGTCCAAGAGGGGGGGGTGCAGATCATGACCGGCGGCACGTGCGCGGCCCAGCTGGGGGGCCAGGGACGTAATGAAATAAGAAGGGGCGCCATGAAGTCCGGGGAAAAATCATGGCTCCCGCCACGATATCCACCCCCCCTAGTCATCAGCCCCCTCTTTGCCGCCCCCGAGGCAACACGCCGACATCCATGCAGCGTGAGGGGAACGCACCCAGAGACGGGATCTGGACCCCTGGGCCTTCCCCCGGGACGAGCTCTCCATCGAAGGATTGCAAAAAAACGAAGGATTGCAAAAAAACCCTTCTTGAACGAAGGATTGCAAAAAAACCCTCGTCGAAGGGAGGATTGCAATCCTTCGTGTTTCCTGACGCAGTCCTGGGGCCCGTGGCGGGCCCAGGGGGGCCCAAGACAGCGAAACACCCCAGGACCCGCTTCCCTCAGGAGCAAGCCGGGCATGTCAGAAAGGGGCGCAGGGACACACAAAGAAATGCACACGCCCCCAGATTCCCCACATTTGTTTCATACTTTCTGGAGCTTCGTCTTCCCCTGCACTTCGCATATGTTCCCATACTTTCCTGGACATCGACGATGAATTGTGCCTGTGTGTTTTCTCCCTCTCGAATGTCCCTTGACACGAGGAAGATTCCCCCATATGGTCAAATATATGTTTCGACATGTTTCGATTATATTTTAACTTGTCTTCCTACATTTACTAGGGGAACGAAAAGTGGCATAAACATAAAAGCTCGGAGGTCCGCGCGGATTTATCGGATCCGCGCTGGACCCCCCTCCCTGGCGCGCGGAGCGCGCCAAGGGCGGCGCCAGAGGCGCCGCCAGGGGGGTCCAGCGCGGATCCGAGAATATGCCACTTTTTGTGCCCCCATTTACACCCCCCTGTAGGAGGACACGCCCGACCTGACCTCGGGACCCGCGCCTTTCGGGCTGTGGCGCAGGAGGAGCGGGAGCTGGAGGTGCCGGGGGGAGGGAGGAGGGGGAGGGGAGGGAGGAGGGAGGAGGGAGCGAGGAAGGACGGGGGAGGGAGAGGAGGGGGAGAGCAGCGGAGAGCAGCGGCAGGACGTCGCGTCGGCCAGGCCAACTAGACGCAGCACAGGCGGCCAGGGGGCCGCAGCCTCAGGGGAGGCCAGTGATGCCGATCACGTCGACGGACGCGAAGGGCGGCGCGCTGGGGCCAGACCGCCGCGCAGCGCCTGCGGCGAGCCGCTGGGGCCAGAACGCCACGCAGCGGCTGCCCGTGCCAGGAGAGGCCGACCCTCAACCACTTCTCCGTCGCCTCCTGCGTCCCGCATTCCACGGCACCGAAGGCGCTCTGAGCGGGCCAATGGGCGGTGGCTGCCCTTCCCGCCGCAGCTCGGCCAGCCACGTCCGCAGGCGCACGTAGTCGTAGCGCCGCATGCAGTCCGACACGATCCTCTGCGACCGCGTCAGCGTGTGGCGCCACCTGTAGTAGGCCCGCCTCGCGGGCATGCCAGTCCCCCAGGCCCGCTCGCAGATCTCCTCGGCCATCTCCTCGGCCGTCCTCCCACGCGCCCGCAGCCTGGTGGCGAAGCGCGGCTGGGACAGGATCTGCGTGACGTAGCCGACGCAGTGGTCGAGCCACTCGCTGTAGCACTCCATCGTCTCGCCGACCTCGGGAGCCTGGGTCCAGTACCGCGCCCATCCAGCGACCTGCAGCTCAAGCCTGGGCGCGACGCTGCGCCTCGGCTGCGCTGGCTCAGGCCGAGCCACCGCAACTCTGCCAGCACTCAGGGCGGGGCCGCACACACGGTCGGCACTTGCAGGTCCCCTGCCACCCCTGGTGCTGGCCATGCACATGCCGTCGCGGTCCGCGTCGCTTCCTGGGCTCAGGGCGGGGCCGCACTCACGCACGCACATTGCAGGTCCCCTGCCACCCCTGGCCCAGGCCGTAATCCGTCGCCGCTCGGGGTGGGTGCTGGTGCTCAGGGCGGGGCCGCACTCAGGACCGCAAACTGCAGGTCCCCTGCCACCCCTGGCACCAGCCGTAGCTGCACGTGGACACGCCTCCCCAGAAGCCAGCTGCGGCTGCCGCTGGTCCTCCTCAGGCGACGCCGCTGCCAGAGACCCGCTGTCAGTGCCCAGGGCGGGGCCGCACACAGGACTGCACTTTGCAGGTCCCCTGCCACCCCTGGCGCTGGCCATACCCTTGCCGTCGCGGTCCTCGTCGCATCCTGGGCTCAGGGTGGGGCCGCACTCACGCACGCACATTGCAGGTCCCCTGCCACCCCTGGCCCAGGCCGTAAATCGTCGCCGCACGCGGTGGGCCTGGCTGCCGTCGCCGCCAGTGCCCAAGGTGGGGCCGCACTCAGGGTCGCGGCTTGCAGGCCTCCTGCCACCCTTGTCACTGGCCATGCCTGGCAGCGCCCGCTGCGAGTTGTCAGACCTGCCAGCACTCAGGGCGGGGCCGCATTCGCGACCGCACTTTGCAGGTCCCCTGCCACCCCTGGTGCTGGCCATATCGGTAGTCGAGAACGGCTGCGGCGGGCTGCTCATGTCCTGAGGGCTGGTCACGGCGCCCTCCTGGTGGTCCGTGGTCAGCGTCACCTCGTGTGCCAGGTCACACCTCAAGGGCGCAGGCAGCCGCGACGGCCCCGCCGCCAGACAGGCATCGACCACCCCCACGTCTGGGGCAGCTGGCGGCGGCTGGAGCGTCACCAGTCCAGTGGTGCCCCCGTCGGGGCATTGGTGCGCTCCATAGGCCGAGGGCAAGCTGCCGTCGGCCATGTCTCCCTCATCACGCTGCGCGCCGCTGGCGGCTGCTGGACCACGTTCGGCTAGCAGATGCTGCTGCCTTCGCTGCATCCGTTCCAGGAGCTCCTGCCGTCGCACCCGCCAAGCAGGCTTCTTGGTCTGGACTGCGTCGGAACCTCCAGCCCCTGCAGGCACCTCGCGCGTCTCGTGGTCCTGGCCAGGCCTGGTCGCCTCGCCCTGTTCCTTCTGCGCGTGCCTGCCGCTTGGCCGCTCTGCAGCGCCGTCGCCCCCAGAGGCCATGTCGCCCGCGGCCGCGCTGGCCGCCGCTGTGGCCCATGTTCTGGGGCCGTCTGGAGCCTCGCCTGCACCTCCCCAAGTGAGCACCTTTCCTGTCTTGGGGTGCAGCCCTTGGCTGAGCTTCTTGAGCCGCGCCCTGAGGTTGGACAGGTAGGTGCGCTGGTTCTTGCCCTCGGCGCTGGGCGGGCCAGCGCAGGGCGCAGCCAGGGCCAGTGAGGAGCCTGTCGCCGCCCACGCCACGCATACCTCGCAGTAGATGGTGGGCCCTGCGCGCCTCAGCCTGTGCCCCTGCATCTCGATGGTGCCGTCCCCTGAGCCCCAGGGGGCAGGCTCGGCTGGCCTGGGCCCCGCATCTTCGGGGCACGCCGCGCGCTCGATCGCCTGCATAGCGAACTCGCCCGCCTCCGAGACCACAATGGGCTGCGCGCCGACGTGCGCGATGATGGCCTCGGCCCGCAGCGCGGTGTACTGGCTGGCCTCGCAAGCTGAACGCGCGAACTGCGTCCATGTGGGCCCCGTCTGCCCGCTGGTCTGCCTGCAGCAAGCGCGGCACAGCACCACCGCCGTCCCGTTCAGGCGAACCAGGGAGTGGCTGATCACAGTCGCCGCCTGCACCTTGGGCACCTTTGGCGGGCGGGCTGTCTGCTCGGGCGCATCCCAGCGGCCTGCGTGCATCGTCCTCTGCATCGCCCAGCCGACGTACTTTGCCAGGCTCTTGTAGTGTTGCAGCTCGATGTTGTAGAACTCCTCGTACACCTTCGACACGGTGTGCTGCATGGCTCCTTGCCGAGCGAACCAGTCGGCCCACATGTTGCCAGAGTACAGCAGCGGGTGGAGGCCTCGGTCCAAGTACGCATCCATGTCCTGATGCGCGGGGATCCATCTCACTTCAGGCCGCGCTGGCTGGGCACGAATCCGTCTCCACACTGTGGCATGTGCCGCTCGCGCCTCCTCTAGCTCCTGCCCCCAGTGGCTGCATTCCTTCTCCATCGACAGAAGGTCGGTGAAGGTGAAGACGAACTCGAGCTGCGGCCCCGCGAGCCGCAATGCCTGCAGCAGCGCGTGCCTCTCCGCGCGCCCGACCGTCTGGAGCGGCCCTGGCAGCGCCCCGAACGCCGCCCGAACAGGCAGTCCCTGGAGGGAAAGCTGCACGAAGGCCCATCCGCAGCGCCTCAGCTCGGGCATGCTGGACGCGAAGCCTGAGCCATCGGTGAAGACGGCGTTGCTGCAGGAAGCCGTGTCCGCCCCTTGGCTAGGCCAGCAGCCCCAGAACTTCACCTCGGCCTGCTCCGCGGCGGGCGGCACGAATGGCGGCATGCAGGGCAAGCACATTTGGAAGTCGGCGCTCTCGAAGCTGCCGCCCTCCTGCAGGCCTTTGTCGCACATGAAGGTGCGGATGGCCTGCATCGGCTCGGGCGGCAGCTGCTCGTCCTGCTCCTCCTCTGTGAGCGGCTGCACGAGTACCTCGCAGCCGAAAAATCTGTGCCCAGGCGAGTCGGACGGATGTCCGCAGGCCCTGCAATTCGGCGCCGCCGCCAGCCCAAGGTCGTGCTGGGCCTGTTGCGTCCAGGCCACCGTCGCCCAGTGGTGACGCAGGCTGGTGGCCGACGGGCCCTCCGCCAACGCCGCGCGCCCGTCGCCCACGCAGAGCCGCATGGCCCGCACCCAAGGCTTGACCTCGCCGTGCTGGCGGTGGTGCGCCGCGATCTGCCTCGCCTGCCAGCGTTGCACGCCGCCGGTCAGATGCATCCTGACGTCCTTCGGGCACGTGGTGAGGAGGTTGATCGCCGTATCCTGGTCGGTGACCAGGGTCGTGCTGGAGTACATGTGCCATCCGATGCGCCAGAGCGTCAGCGTGACGGAGGCGATGGGACCGCGAGCCCCTGCCCAGGACGGGCGCCCCACGAGCCGCTCCGTGACCTTGGCCCAGGCCCTGTGGAGCCTAGCCAGGGAGGTGCGTTGTTCCCAGATCCAGCTGGCGTATCGGCAAACGATGTCGCAGGTGGCGCCGTAGATGGGGTCGTACTCGCGCGCCTTCTGCGTGGCTAAATACACCGTGACGCTCGATGCACCTGGCCGAGCCCCTGCAAGCCTGCCAGCCTCGGCCCTCAGCACCTGCAGCGTATCGTCGGTGAGCCCTGACACCCCAGCACCGTGCGCCGCACTCGGCATGAGGCCCGTCTTCCACAGGCAGGTAGCGCGCCTGCCCACTGCCCCTTTGAAAGCTGCCAACTTGCCGCGCCGCTCCTTGAGCTGCCGCACCCGCTTTGCCGTCTGGAGCCTAGCGATTCTGCGCCCGCCCAGATCGTGCCCCAGGTTGCGGGCCCAGCGCATCTTGGTCAGCTTGCGGGCCGCCGCGTGTCGGGCACACTCGCGAGCAGCCGCGTCCGATGAGACCAAGTAGCCCGACTTGGTGGGCTGCACGACAATGCCTCGCTCCTGGGCGCCCTCGCGGAACCTGGTGGTGGCCGCCCAAAGCACGCCCAGTTGCGAGAGCCGCCTCCCGCGCCACTGCAAGGTGACGTCGTCGATGAGGGCCCTCGGGGTGACGCCTGCATCTCGCGCCTGCTCGAGCAGCCTGAACATGAGCAAGGTGACCATGGCACAGGCGTGAGTGCATCCTGCGAGCACGCCCTGATGTGACACGACCGCGTAGGACACCGAGCCGAAAGCTTGCAGCCGCCTCGGCTGCCTGTATAGCTCAATCAACATCCAGACCAACCGCAGCGGCATGCCCAGCAGCCGCGCCTCGATGAGTAGCCACTCGGGCTTAATCGTCTCAAAGAACTTCCAGGCGTCCAGCATGACGATTACGACGTGCTCGTCCAGGCAGTCCGATACCTCCGTCTCAAGGTTGAGGTCGAAGGCGGAGTCGGAGGAAGATCTGCCGCCGCCCATGCCCCAAATACTGGCATTGGGGTGCGCCGTCAGCCACGCCTTGGACGTCGAGGCACGAGCCCTCGACCACCATCGGATTAGCGAGTGCATCAGCGTGATCAGCCTGCAGCCGCCAGAGGCCTTGGGGATGCGGCACATAGCGTGCCACAGCCTTTCGCTGGGCCAAGCCCCCAGCGCCTCGCACTTCATGAAGAGCTGGCCGCAGGTGTAAACGCCGTCGTCCGTGAGAAAGGTGAGCGCGCGCATACCGATCTGCGCTGGGCCGAGCGCCGTGGTGGTGGGGAAGCTGCAGGCGGCCCGCTGCAGCGCCTCCACGGTGAGGTCTTCGAGGTCGTCCCATTCGTCGAAGTCAGCTGGCCTTTCCAGCGCCTCGAGCTTGTGGCACGACCAGACGTCCTCCCAGGCCTTCATCTCCCGGTCGCAGATCAGGTGCTGGCTGGCGACCTGCTGCTGCGGGACGAAGGTCTGGGCGAGCCGTCCAGTGGTGAGCTCGGTGTGGGTGCCCTGCCATTGCGCCAGCACCTCCTGCATCGCCCGCAGCTTGGTGAAGCGGTGCGCCTTGCCAGCGCCGTTCCGCAGGCTGTCGTTGGCCCACTGGATCCAGCTCTGCTGCCTGACCTTGAGCGCGTCCGCGTGGGCGTCCTTGGCGAACTGGGCGATGCGGCCCGCCTGCTCCAGGAAGTCGGTGTTGCCGATCACGCGAAAGCCCTGCTCGAAGAAGGACCTCACCCAATGCGGGAGCAGTGCCAGCGTCTTCTTGCTGTCCATAACCACGCGCCCATACTCCAAAGCCCTCGCGACGAAGTCCACCAGCTCGTGGTACTGCTCAGGGACAAGGGAGCACTGCAGGCTGGCGGTTTGCAGCCTCCTGCTGGCCTTCGCGAGGAACGCGCTGACCCCCATGAAGTGACGCGCCCATCGGCCCGCGACCTTGGCCGCGATGACATCAGGCCCCAATCGGACACGCTGCCCTTGCGGCTTCCACTTGACTGGCGCCAGCTTGGTCGCAATGGGCCCCGCACGTCCTTCGAACCGCCTGCGCGCTTCGCCAACCTGGTCGTAGCGGTCCAACAGCTCCTGCTCCAAGGTGCTGACGACGGCGTCCCAGGCTGCTGGCAGCTCCTCGGCGCTGGTTGTGGCGCGCACCTGGGCCAAAGTGGGCGCCCAGTCCTCGACACCGCGGCTGCAGCCGATGGGCGGCACCGCTGGAATCGCCCTGGGGGCGATCGGGATCCTCACGCGCATGTCCAGGTCGGCGGCACGCAGCTCCATGTTGACAGGGAGGTGCGGGGAGGTGATGCCCAACTCATCCACTCTCGGAGCCGAGATGCGGCTGGCCAGGTTTGCACCGACCAGAAAGTAGTCCAGCACCGAGCCGCTGCCCGCCTGTGGGCGGCAGGTGTCGGCCGACGGCGCTAGCCAGAGGCCCCCCGCCTTTTCCAACTGCGCCAGGGGCAGGCAGCTGGGAGGCCCATTGAAGTCGCCGCCGACGATCCAATCGATGCCCGAGGCCGTGAGCTTCGTGAGGTAGCGAGTGAGCGCGCCGAAGATGCTTCGGTTCACGTCGTTCATGCCAACGCTGTCGACCAGGTAGGCCGACACGAAGACAATGCCGCCACGGACTCCCCAGTGCACGTGGGCGGCCACCAGTCGCCCTGGCCACAGTGTCGCCGAGGGCAGCAGCGGCGGGGCCGTGACGGGGATGTTCTTGCGGGCCAAGACCGCGACGCCGCCCGTAGTGCCCTCCGCGGAGGTGGGGCCTGCCACTGCTGGCGCCCAGATGCCCGCGAACCCGTGATCCAGCACCTCGTGCTGCAGGTCGGCGAGCTTCGCCTCGTCCCGTCGGTGATGCTCCTGGACGAGAACGACGTGCGACTCGAGGGTCTCTAGGCACGGCGCCAATGAACCCCAGGAAGTCACGTTGCTGGTAGTGATAGTGCCTTTCGCCATCGCAAGTGTGCAGGACATCGCGATGATGAGCTTAGTAAGGATTGAAGCCCCTGACGGCCAGCTCCGTGGCGCGCGCCAGCATGGCGTCGCTGGTCTCCTCTGCTGGCCCTGGCGAGAACTCCGCCATGGTCTGCCGCAGCTTCTCGGGCTCCATCGCGGCGGGATCCCAGCGCGGCGCTGCGGCTGCAGGGGCGGCGCCGCCTGCAGTGCCTGCGCCATGCGCGGCGGCGGCGGCGTCGTCTCCCTCGACGGACGCTGCAGGGGTGCGAGGGGCGCTCGCTGCCTCCGTGGCGGCGGCCCGCTCGCGCTGCCGCCGCAGCATGAGCTCCTGGAGGGGCCCGCCGAGCGCCGAGGCCAGCCGCTGCGGCAAATCGCCCGCGGTCTGCATGGTGTCGTCGGGGTGAGCGGCCAGAGCACCGCTGAGAGCCTGCGCCAGGTCGCCGAGGGTGAGGCCGCCCGTGTTCTTGATGACGTCGTGCTCCGTGGACTGCCCAGGCGGACGATCCTCTGGCGCGACTGGGACCTGCTGCTGGAGTGCCGACTGCTCCGCCTGGAGGGCCACCTGCTGCGCCTTGAGCTCTCTGACACCATGCCGCTTGAGCTCCAGCTCGTCTTGCGCCTTCTTGACACGGTTCTCCGCCTCGCGCTCGGCCAGCTCCATCTTGCTGAGTTTGTCCGCCAGATTCTTCTGCCTGTGGGCCAGCGCCTGCACCCGCGCGTGGAGCGGCTTGGCGGCGAAGAGCCTGTCCTTGGCGGCGGGGAGCCTGCGCTTGAGATCCTCCCGCGGGCCCGTGGCCCAGTCGTGCTGCACGTCCTTGAGCGTGGCCAGGCCTGCCTCGCACACCTTGATCTCGCTCGCAGCCGAGGCGTCCTCGCCTGACTTGCCGTCGTCCACGTGCATGGCCGCGGCCCCGCCCTGGTCGGACTCCTGCGTACGAAGCTTCTTCCTGGCAGCGTCGAGCTCCGCCCGCATGGCCGCGAGCTCGCCCTCGAGCTTGCCCTCGGCCGTCCACGGGGCCCGCTTCTTGCCCTTGGCTGGGGCCCGCATCGAGGGCTCCTTCGGCGGCACAGGCCCGCCGTACACGTCCTTCTTGTGGAGCCTGCACCCTTGGCACTTGAGCGAGGTCCCGAAGTTGATGAGCGGCTTGCCGCGCTTCGTCGTACAGCTCCTGCAAGCCCAGTCCTGGCGTTCCTTTCGGCCGGCGCCAGCCATGGTGCTGCAGTCTGCACTTGGGATCGAGAAGGGGCTGTCGGGCTCAAGAGCCCTGGCACTGGCCGCGGACTAGCGGTATCCACTTGTTCCACTGTGGAACTAGGCATCTTGAGCCAAAATGGCTACGGAGGAGAGGAGGGGGAGAAGGGAGGAGAAGAGGAGGAGGAGGAGGAGGAGGAGGAGGACCTGACCTCAGGACCCGCTTCCCCCATGGCGACCCGCAGCCACATCCCCCGGGCGTCGCCGCCTCACCGCCAGGCGGCGGGCGCCAGGGGCACGGGGGCCGCCCGCCGCGCCCCCGGGGGGAGCGAAGAACAACTGAATGCTCCTCCTCCTCCTCCTCCTCCTCCTCCTCCTCCTCCTCCTCCTCCTCCTCCCCCAGGACACACAAAGAAATACATACCGAAGGGGCCTCTGGGACACACAGATAGATACACACAGGTACAAGGATTCCCCAGATGTTCCCCTATCTTCTGGGTCTTCGTCTCTCCCCACTTTCCACAATTTCCAACATTTTTGGGGGAATCGACGGTTCATTGTGTCTGTGTGTTTTTCTTCTCCTGAATGACATAGGCAGAAAAACTCGGAGTTCCGCGCGGATTTCTTGGATCCGCGCTGGACCACCCTTCCAGGCGCGCGGAACGCACCAGGGGGGTCCGCGGACCCGAGAACTATGCGCGACCTCCGAGTTGTTCTGCTTGTGTCATTGTTCGTGCCCCTGTCCCAAGCGCCCCCCCCCCCCCGCCGTGCAGAGGCACGCGGCCAGAGTGGTGGTCCGCGATGTCGCGGAGGCGGCGGACGAGGCCTGCTCGGCCCCGGGGTCGCCGGGAGGATCGCAGCTACCCCTCCCGCACCCCTCCGAGTCATGAAACAGCCACGACGGTAGACGAGCGCGTTCCACTACTTGCGAAGTAACTACTCGCAAATGGCCTGGATCCGCCGCGGAGGATCTACGATAAATGACATCGAAGCAAACATGTGCTTCTCGGACGTTTGCGAGTGGGCACTCTGCGAGTAGTGGCACGCGCTCGGCGAGACGGGCAACTCTTCGCTGCTCTCAGCCTCGGAGGCCCTCGCCGGGCCTCGGGGCCGTCCAAGAGCGGCTCGGGATGGAAAAAGGGGGTCCCTGGGAGTGGGTCGAGACCTCTGCAGGGCCGACGCTGCCACACGACCACGACGTCGGGGAAGGGGTCGAGGCCCCACGGCCGCGCGCCCGCTGCCTCCGCCTTCCGGCTCCTCTCCCCTCCTCTTCCCCCGGTTCCCCCCTCCGGGGTGTCCCCCCTCATCGTCCGGCGTCCTTGCCCGCGCTCGGCGCTTCAACCCCCGCTTCCCCCTGGCCTCTGTGTGAAGGGGCCCTGGGACGCGCAAAGAACCACACACACACACACACTCTCACACAAACAGCTGGATTCCCCATCTCTTCCCCTATGTTCGGGGCTCTTGTCTTCCCCCCCACTTCCGATATTGCTCCACATGTCCCTGGGAATCGACGAGCCATCCCAGACATGCGACGTCCTGATTTTTTCAGGACGGCGCCCCCGCAAGTCCCGACCTCTTCCCCGGGGCCGGCTTTTCATCCTGAGTCGTTTTTTGACGGTCCCGAGGCCCGGCGAAGGCCTCCAGAGCCCGAAAACGGCGAAAAACCTCCGTCCTGAATTTTTTACGACGCAAGCATGTCTGGGATTGTGTCTCTGTGTTTTCTCCCCTCCTGCATGTGGCCCGGGCGGCGGCGCCGCACAGGTGGTGCACAGCAGCTCGATCGGTCGGGGGGTCTGGGCTCTGGCCAGCGGCGGAGCGCTCAAAGGCAACCGGCCAAGGGGACGGGGCACAATCTGCCGGCAGAGTCCGCAGGATCCCTCCTGAGCTGTGAGCTGTGCGCTCCTCCCGGTCGCGCGCCTGCGGCCCGGAGCGTTCTCCGAGTTCGGGACCCAGACATGCTTGCGTCGTGAAAAATTTAGGACGGAGGTTTTTCGCCGTTTTCGGGCTCTGGAGGCCTTCGCCGGGCCTCGGGACCGTCAAAAAACGACTCAGGATGAAAAGCTGGCCCCGGGGAAGAGGTCGGGACTTGCGGGGGCGCCGTCCTGAAAAAATCAGGACGTCGCATGTCTGGGGAGCGGCCTAGAGGGGGGCGTCCAAGAGGGGGGGGGTGCAGATCATGGCCGGCGGCATGTGCGCGGCCCAGGGGGGGGGGGCCAGGGACGCAACAAGATAAGAAGAGGCGCCACGAGCCATGAAATCTGGGGAGTTCTCGTGGCCCACGCCATGAACTCCGCCCGCCCCCCAGTCAGCACCCCCCTCCCTGCCGCCCCCGACGAGTACCCCTCGGGAGCAGGCGGGCTCGGCCCGGTGTGCCTGCTCCTGCGCTCTCCCAGGCCGCATCCCGCCCCGGGGGAACAAACACATGACGGAACACGTGTGGCACATGTCGGCCTCGAAGGGTGGCCGACCCCTGGGGCCGTCAACAGCAGCGCCTCAGGACGGACGGCTGGCCCCCGCGAAGGGGTCCAGACCTCCGAAGGCCCAGGATGTGAGAGCAACATGTCGTGGTGGGTGCGACTTCACTGCCCTACTTCCCCCGACTGTTCCATCCTCTCTCTCCCCTCCTCTCTTGCTTCCGCCATCCTCGCATCTCTCCATCTTCCTTCTCCTCCTCCTCGAGGTCAGCCCCCCCTCTCCATGCTCCCTGGCGGTGCCTCTCACAGCTCCTCCTCAGCCCCTTCCTCCTCTTCCTCCTTCTCTCCTCCTTTTGCGTTCGACTAACCTTCGCATGATGCTGTGGCGATACTCTCCTCCTCCTCCTCCTCCTCCTCCTCCTCCTCCTCCTCCTGCTCCTCCTCCTCCTCCTCCTCCTCCTCCTCCTCCCTCCTCATTTCTCACTCCTTCCTTTTGCTGGCTGCTCTCTCAACATCCCTCTTCCCTGGCTCAAGCCGTTCTGGGCTCAAGCGAGGCTTGGGCCTTCCGCGCGCGTTGGTTCAGAGCGGCTCCGCGCGCGGGAACCATTCGCATGCAGATCGTTGTGGCTGCGGCGGCGTTCCGTGCTGTGGCCGACGCCCTCTCCGTCCTCGAGTCGCAGGAGGTGCAGTTGCTAGTAGTCAGCACGGATGACGAAGTCAAGGGCCTCGCTCTCTTCCAGCGCCAGTCCGAGGAGGGTTGCGCTGAGCAGGGCGAGGAACAGATCGAGGAGTGCAAGGCGGTCCTCGAGCCGCGGGTGCGTGGCGCCATCACCCCTGAGGCTCCGCCGCCGCTCGCCAGTGCGAAAGCAGGCGGCGCAGGTGCGGGCACCGCAGGGGTCATCACGGGCATCGGCAAGGAGCAATTCGAAGAGCTCTTGGGAGCGGCCCTCCCGTTCCTCGGCGGCCCGTGTGGAGCTCAAGGCATCGGCAAGGAGCCGATCGAGGAGCCCTTGGGCGAGGGCCCCCCCCCCTGTCTCGGAGGCCACCCTTGCGGAGATCAGGGCGAAGTTCCGTGCAATCGGGGTGAGTGCCCGCATGGCGAGGATGGCGCAGAATCAGCTGCCACCGCCCCCTTTGCCATCGCTGCAGCAGCAGTCGAGGCTGGCAAGGGAGAAGCAGGTGGCACAGCAGAAATGCGTGCCGGCCAAGGCGATGCCACCTCTGAAGCTGTCGGAGCAGCAGGTGGCTCGGCGGGCCGGCACGTCGGCTCAGAAGGGGCCATCGGCACAGCAGCTCCGCCTGCACCGCAGGCTGGATGTCATCAGCAATCGGCATGAGGAGATAGCTCAAGCATTGGGGCTGGCTCCAGTGCGCTCGGCCTCACCGACCCCGCC